CAAATCTGATTTACATCTTTCTTAATCTGAAATAATTCCCACCAGTCTGAAGCTGCTCCTTGAAGTTGATCGGAAGCATAAAGCACTTTCTAATGGTCATTACACCGAGCTATGTTAAGTTGTTGCTCCATAGCTCTAAGGCAGTCATTAGCTTCCAGTGGGTCACTTGCATGAGAGAATGTCGGCGGATGTCCCTTCATAAATTCACCACGCTTATCCCTTGGTGGTGCTTGATGTGGGTTGATGCATACATTCTGAACATAGGTCTGTAACAATTGAGTCTGTATCATCATAGATTGCTCTATAGTCGGAGGATTTGGTGGCGGTGGATTAGCATTAGGGGCATTCCTTCTGACATCACGTGAAGCACTTCTCTTGATAGAAACCATCTGTTTGGAACATTTAGCATAATTATTGGTTGTAATCCATGATCCAGAAGTAGTTCACATGGTAAAACAATCAATTTGAAATTTTCTGGATGAGGACTACCAGTAGCAGTTCAGAAAGACAACCATATCTCAAGTTCTAGAAATCCTATGAAGGCATTCCTTATTTGGCTAGAAAGCTTATGAAATTCTCTACAACTTTTGTATAGACCACCTTGCCAGATTCTGAGGTTAATTTAGTCAGAAACAGGGCACAACCGAAACTATTTGGACTCCCAGATAGTGCCAAAACTTATACTTGTAGAGATCATAACTCCCAACTATAATAGATATGAAGGTGGTTCTAGTGGCATATGAAAGATACAGAAGTCTACTTTCATCCATAAAACTTTCATGACTTTTGGGCATCTACCTTTGGAGATATAACCCGATGAACACTGACTGCTCAGAAAACAGCACACGCAGAGACGAGAAAAACCAACCCAACTATCTAATCATTGATGCTTATACCTTAGCATATAAATTAAATGAAATTGTGAGCATAACCCACAAAAATCATTGCAATCATTACAAAGATCCAAATCAAGCATGAATATCAAGACAACCATTCAAACACTACAGGTTCACAATTCAAGCATTAGGACTTAATGACACTACTCCCGTTACTAGCATTCTTGTTGTATCAAGGGCTCAAAACTCTACAGCTTCACCTTCATGTTGCGTAAGAATGTGGTAAGTGATAGCTCTAAAAGCAACTCAAAGCACGGGTGAGGATAGGAACAAAATTTATAGCAACAAGGAGGAGATGAACAGCAAAGACAAGAATATAGTATAGGAGAAAATAGCAAGGTTTATAGACCAAGGATTTCATAGCAAATTCTGAATCTTAAGACGACCATTTTCTAACTAGGCTTGCGTCCTACAGTCGACTTAGCTTCGATACCACTTTGTAGCACCTGGTTTTAAGGACAAAACCAGATACACACCATATGTGTGCCTAGGAATTCAATTCACACATATAGCTACAAATGAAGGTGTAATATCAAAGACAATGCCTTTATTAGATAGAGCATAAATATTCGTTACAAAAGACATAATCTTACTTTACAGTATATACTATAACTCTATTCTTCGGGCGAAGCCTCCAACACCACAGGAACCGTCAACGGGTTGATCATAAGCCTAACACCTCTTGAGAAACTCCACTAAAGAACCTCCATCTGGTACCCGTCCGGGATTTTGCCAAAGTATTGAAATAAAACAAGTGTAAGCTACTACCGCTTAGCAAGCATAATATGAGGGGATGCAAGCTCAAAAGGCTTGACACGGCTGAACTGCGGTAAGCACTTTTAGTTGGTCATATTTTATTATTAATCGTAAGTTGCTAAGTTATGTTTAGGCTCCCAAATATGAATAGTTATAGATATCATCAATTTTAATCATAACCCAAACCTTCCAAGTAACCAACTATTCAGTAAGGATCCAGGCCGTTCTTATCCGTGAGCACGACTGATATATCAGTTTTACCCTCTGCAGAGGTTGTACACTTTCACCATGAGTCGTGTTGCACATATACCCAGGTTAATTACTCCCAAAACACTTTCAAGGTGAGCAGGCAGGGAACACTATGAAGCTTTTCCCCAGTCGTTCTAATAAGGAGCAGCCGCTAAGGATTCCATCTCCCAAGTGTTATGGAGTCATCTCCAAAAATAGCACTAATACTCACAGCATAGTACACCCTGGGGATGAGGCCCATACCCAGCCTGGTATGCCCTCTTGCCCTTTCGGTAAGCTGCTATAAACTAGAAAGAGCAAGGTACTGGACTAAGACCAGAGCCATATGGTGCTCGTGGTTGTACTGTAAGTCCTGTGTTGTCACTTAAAGATGAGTCCTTATGGAGAGAAACTAGAGCACCATAACAAAAAGGCCCAATGCTCTAGCCCCCTTGGTTTCATGTTGCTAAAAAAGCATCTTTTAATACTATATTACATATATATTTAATTGTATTCTTTAATCAATATCAGTTGGAGCAAACTGAGCATACTACCCACATGCAAAACCCATAGGTAAATCAAGGACATGATAATTAATATCAAGGTAAGTAGACTCCAAGCGGTTCATTAACATATGCACATGAATTGAGATTGCATTATAGTGAATAGGTAACAAGGAGCCTCATATTATACTTGCCTTAATTCAAAGTATCACAGCTGGTCTTGATCTCCAAAGAGTTGCTCTAGATCACCAACACAAAACTCAGTGCCTACTCGAGATCAAACAGCACCACACAGACATCGATACATACATGCATAGCAAACAAATATAAGCTAATTTGAACAATACACCAAACAGTAGAAATAGAAGTTAAAAAGGTTTTAAACTGTTCTACGCGATGCTACGAACACACAGACGTGAGAATTACTCAAATCGGAGTTAAAACGGAGAAGTTATGAATTAAACAAGATTTCCTTTTGTAAAATAATAGATTAAATCTAACCTCGAATTTTAAAAGTTGAAAACATACCTAACAATAGTATGAACACGTAGATTATGGAATTACGAACCTAACGCAAGTTGAACGGATCAAATCGGAGTTAAAACGGAAAAGATATGGCCTATAGAAGATAGTGGCAATTTTGTAAATAGATAGAACTTGATTTCCGAATTAAAATAAATAAAATCTGATTTTTAAATCCGGCCGAGGACTGCGGACCCTATTTTGAAGAAAGACAGGGGCCCTTTTGAAAGAATCCAGGGACGGCGGGTTTATACTTAAAACCTTACGGGCGCTCATTTGCAAATTTGCCAGCGAAGAGGTATCTTCTAATCTGGATCGTTGATCGCGGATCAGACGGCTGTGGGTGAAAAGGAGGAAATGAGGTCGCCGGTGGCTGCATCCAGACAGCGGCACCATGGCTGGAAAACCGAACTCCTCACCGGTGATTTGTGAAAACGACATAGAGCATCCGATTCTCTACGGAGAAGACACGGGGATGTAGAGAGGACTACTGCGAACTCACCTAGGCACTTTTCTTGAGCGGAGACGGCTTGGTGACGGCACAGGGCACGGTGGGGCGGATAGCCACGTCCTGCAAGGCAACGGCGACGGTGAGCGTTCGACAGAGAGCAAGGAAAACCAAGGAAATAGCTTCTTCAGCTTCGTCACCCTTGTACCAACCACGGCGGAGGGATGGGAATGGAGGGGAAACACCAAACGACGTTCGCGGTGGCGGTGGGTGACGTCGGGCTCGGCGAGATCCGTCGAGCGCAGGATGGTGAGGCTAGGGCTCGGACGGTGCTGCGCTAGGGTTAAGGGAGGGCGGCGGCTCTTGGGCTTGCTATTTATGGGGCGGACGGCGTGGGCAGCATGCCAAGCACGGCGTGGCGAAGGCGGTCTCAGCGGTAGCAGAGTCCGTTGTAGCGACGGGAGGAGGAAGACGCACGACGCTGATGAGCGGGGCCAGCCTAGCAGTCACAGCGAAAGAGGGACAGCGCGGGCGGCTTCGGCTTGGGCCGGGGCGCTGCAGGCCCACAAGGAAAAGGAGAACGAGCCGGCGCTGCTTGCTTGGGCCTGCGCGTGGGAGCGGTTGGAGCGGGCCTCGGGCGAAGAGCAGGCCGACGCTGCTGCGGCTGGGCCGAAACCAAGAGAGGGGGAAAATTCGATTTTCTTTTTATCTCAAGTGTTTTTCAAATGCATTTTCAAATCCATTTTCAAATCTTTTTGAATTAGTTCAAAGTTTGGTTACAAACCACACAATGCAAAAATAATGTGCAGCGGCATGAATGCACAAACATGTATGTAGACCTTATATTTGTTTTTAACTTAATAAAAATTATTACTTTTCTAAGTTTAAATGCTCACCAAGATACATAATTAAATCAATTCACCTACTTTAAAATATTGCAAAATTTACGGTGTTACAGTAGATGTACTAGGAAGTTTATTTTTTTTAAAAAAGCACCTAAATATGTTTTGAGGATGTTTTCATGTTCTCGCCGAATTACAGGTTTACATTGAATATTTATCTATAGGTTGGGAGTTAAGTTTTTAACCGTCTATTAGAGTACCTTCAAACCCTTACAATTATAGCTTCCCCGGTAAGATAATATTGAGGTTGCTCCAAAACTACCTTTGGAGGTTAGGTGTTGGTGGGTGTGTGTGTGGGGAGGGGGGAGGGGTGTTAGTGGATAATTTATTTTTCATTTTTATACTCAACACTCATCTCTCTCTCTTCCTTTTGTTACCGCATCTTTCTCTGCTGCTTCTACTGCCACCGCATCTTCCTCCCTCCTCCATCTGCGCGAGCTCAAGGAAACTATGCCTCCACTGCCAATGAGCTCCTCCCTACGGACCGGTGCGAGTTCGAGGAAGCTGCATCTCATACCTCCACCGACGGGAGCTCGAGCAGATGTGACTGACGCGAGCTCGAGCACCTCCATTGTCGGCCATCCCTTGCTAGACCCTTCCCTGTCCATCGCTATCCCGCCCCTCCCTTCCTCAACTCTATTCAATTCTAAGATAGGGAAGCCATTGTATATTAGAAAGATGGTACAAGGTTTCATTTTATGTATTTGTATTTGTATTTCGAATGATCCGGGCCACTTTATCCATTTTACGGGCATTTGGGGCCGCCTTCCTTGGTCTTCAGGTTGTCGTAGCACGGGCACTCTTCCTTGTTGCCGTATGTACCAGATGGGACACACAGGCACTTCTGGCAGCAATAGTTGCAGAAGAAAAGGCATGGCTTCTTGTATGCTGTAGCCGAGCACCGGTAGTCACATTTGTCTGGACATTCTGTACATGCACGAGATATAAATATTAACTGAGAAGGATCACTGCCATCACGCCCCATTTGAGAAATTGATTTTGTAATCTGCTCTCTGAAACTTCTTTCTAAGAAAAAAAAAATCCAAGGCGGTGCAAAACTGAGAGTATGTAGAGAGCACAGAAGATTCATTACGTTCTATGGGGACAGAGCCTTCTGCACCAGCCTGTATTACAAATTCACACGCCAAATCAGTAAAATGATGCAACACTCAAATACTCGAAGCAGATAAAATGATTGCTCTTTCATAGCATCCACAAAAACAGAGTCATGCTACAGACTTACAGGTTTGTAAAGCTCTCCATTTGCGCTTCCAGCAGAAACCTCAACCTGAAAAATCAACAGTTTTTTGTGGTAGCCACACACGTACATATTGGATCATAGATTCATTATTCATATTCAGGAAAGAAAAACAATTTGTTGGATACCAGGCTACGGTCTATGAAATTCCAAACGAGGAAAGTAAAAAACAAAATGGTGCAAAACTGAAAACTTTGCGAAAACTTCAAGCTCACAAAAACTAGAACATTAAAATGAAAAAATCATACCACAAATACTAGTGCGAGGAACAAAAGAACAATGGAGAAAGAGCTCGACGCTTGAGCCATCCTTTCTTCCTCCTCCTTTGTGCACCTGTGAAATGATAACAATTGTTGGGCAAAGCCTTAATGGTGACCAATTTATTTATAGTATGTTGCAGAATACAATCATTTGCAGCTGTAATACTCAATGTACTGCATGCCGAATATCTGCAATCTTTGCATTGCACAATATGGTACAGTTGGCATGCATGCCGCAAGGTGTGAACTGTTTGTTTGCCTCCAATACTTGCACTACAATTTTCAGTAGTAGCAAGTAACGGCTACTACTGAAAACTATAATGCGGTGAATCCGAAAAAAAAAATCAGGTTTGGTGACTGTTGGGCTCTTATTCAAACTTTTTAGCAGGAAACGAAAGGCCCCGTTCGGTTTACCCAGAAACCGGCTTGTTCGGCTTATTTTTTCAGCTGGAATAGTATTTTTCTCTCATACAATTCAGCCAGAACAATATTTTTCAGCCAGTTTCAACCAAGTTTTAGCAAGCCGAACGGGCCAATGGCAAAAATTTGAGCACAAACAGATATTGGTAATGTTTAATGTTACCAAATAGCTCCCTTTTACACTAATATTTGCCAAAAAAAAAACAGTCCACCAAATTTCCATCAGATAGTTTTGCCAAATATTACCGATATGAAGTAAGGAGGGATTTTTTCCCTCAAATTCTAGAGCAATAGAATATTACTACGCAAAATGTATTTTATGCTATCTGCTAAAAACTGCACTTCAAGCAGTGGCACAGTACCAATATACCTTAGTATAGCTGTATCTCGCTACGCTAAGCATTGGCACAACACCAATATATCTGTGGTATAGCTGTATATCTCTAGTTTTTTTTTTGATAAACAGTTGTATATCTCAAGTGACTGGATTGTCCCATGCATGCATGCAGAGCTAGCAATGCGCCATAGCGCCAGTGCTGAATTTTTCTTTTTGAGAAAGACACTCAAAAGAGTGTCTCAGATATATATTAAGAAAAATAATAGCTTATACAAAATGATAACTTGACATAAAATAACCTCTAAAAAATAAAAGTACATTGAAGATCAAAACAATCATGTTCTTCCTTTGATCGTCCATTACTCGTCGAAGATTGAAGAACATGCTGAAAAGACAGCAAAGAAAAGAGACACCTACAAACACCCTCGCCATACAAGGCTTTGAACACCACAAAAACCACTAGTTGCTAACAACGAGATCTAGTACCCACAGGCTTATAGTGCTTCACCATCACGACAGAGAATTAGAGATGCACGTTGGTATTTATTAACTTGTCACTTGTTTTAGTAGCTACTTAATGTTGTTAACATTCCTTAGAAAACTTTTACTAAGCTGTCATCCCTAGCGATGATGCCAGAAATGCTTGTTGGTACTAGCCAGTGTCACTTCTAGAATGACACTAAGAAGTACTTTAGTATTTCATATGACTAGAAAGAATATATATAAATGAAACGAATTTGCAAGCGCACAGATAATATATCATTGTAGCACTTCACCCGGGAGTATTCCATGTATCATTATTTATATTTTTACCGCAGGGAACGACAGACAGTTGGAATATATTGATAACTCGTATGCACGATGGAAAGATTAACCATAACCAACTTTTACTCATAACAGGAGTAAGTTAAGACATAAATATATATGAATGGTAAGTAATAACTAATCATTGATCACTTAGAGTACTCCTTTCTATGGCATTAGCATGGCTAAGTAGAATATTAGAGGAATAATTCCTAAGTCATTCTTAATTACAAGTCAAGCATACGTTGATTAGTGCAATTACACTTAATAATCATGGTTAAGATCAACTTCATATCTACACATAAGGGATATTACTAAAGAAAATTAATAACAGAGCTTGTTTTCCTTCGTAAGTAGATCCTACTTGTCCTATATTTGGGGAGTGGACTACAAAGAACTTAACGGGAGTGTCACATCCACGATCTACTATATGACCCTAAATATAGGGTGCATCCATAGGTAAACAACGTATAAGCACCACGCTTACACAATATCGACCACTCACCCCTGGATCCATGGAGCGAGCGCTATATGAACTTATGATTGAATATGATGATAATCTAACTATACTAAGCATATAATCAAAGTAGACGATGAATATTATAACTAGGAACATGAATGATATGAAGAACAATGTCATAACAACTGTAGCAAACATATAAAGGTAATGAGAGTTACAAAAGAAAGGGTACAAAAGCTATACCAATCCATGCTCTTGACACGATCAGGAATCCAAGCGAAGCTTTCATCCCTCTAGACCTAGCCTAGCTAGCTATGTCCTAAAATATGGTGGAGCTCTACGGATGATTAGGGTTTCTGTCTTCTCAAATGACTTGATCAGGGTTTGATGATTTAGGGGGTGGTAGGGGTTGATATATATAGGACGGAGCGTCAATCCTGAGCCCTCGGATTAAACCGACTTGAATGAATGACATAGATGCAACCTAGAAGGCGGTGGAGAACCGACGTAGCAACGAGAGACTGAGCGGTGGGCCCACGGGGCCGGCCAATCTGTAGGTGGGACTGGTCGGTCCCACCTGGCGGCCTCTCGCCCTCCACCGCTGTGTGGTGTCTTCTAGATCCTTCTAGTGCTGTTATGCCGCGAATAAGCGTGATTAATTCTGATATATAGGTCCACCTTGACGGTTTTATGAATAGACCCCGCTGAAAACACATATTCACCAAAATTCGTTGAATTTATTAGTTTAAACCCGTAAACCTTGGTCGGTGATTATATTCATACCTTATACATGTTACATTGACGGTTTATAATGTTTGTTAACTACCGTCAATAATGCCAGACCTTGCAATAGAACAAACCAAAAGAAGATGTCGAAATTGCCATGTAGAAAGCCATCTAACTGTTTCCCCTGATAAACACATCATCTGCCACCACAACTGCCACTAAGATTTGAAGAGAACAAACAGATTTGATAGACCAAACTCTCACTAGCCCTTCGTCAACACCGGATCAAACATCGATGAGGTAGGGAGAGGCTGGAGAGACCTTATTCCAATATGTCATCGTCGTCACCATCTCATCGATGATGCCAGAAACCAAATCCTAGAGGAACCGGGATCAACAAAAACTAAAAAGCTATGGAGGGATTGGGTCCCCACTCCTCTAGCCCCCAACGAGGTCGCCAGATGGGAGGGAGGAGGGGACCCAGGTGAATCGTGTGGGGAAGGACGATGGCGGCAGTGGTTGTTACTTTTAGTGACTAGCAATTGTTTTGTTGTAGCGGTTCCAGTGCTGCATTTTTCTTTTTACCTCTACAAATGAGCTGCTATTGGCGTGCGGGAAGAGGCTCCGCGATAGCAAGTAAAATTTAGGGCATCCAATCCTGTTTTAAGGACTAAGATTTACCTCACCATCCCATAGCTATGTAAGCCCCAGACGTCAATCTATAATTGGTCATTCATAAAAATATCTCCAGAATCTGATGATTCTATCCATGTGTCGCATCGTATGCTCCACTTCACCTCTGGCGACCTTTCGACGTTGCTTTCTCTCTCATCTCGCCTCCCTCCCTCTCTCTCTCCTTCCCTCTCCAACCCAGATCTCTCTCAGCACCCGGGGAACATCCAAAAGCTAACCGTAAAGTTATGTGTGCTGGCAATCTTGCACAAAATCCCCTCTTTTAATTATTAGCAATGAGCCCAAGATGACTGGTGGGCCTGAGACATCTGCAAACCACTCAAAATAGACTCCAGGATCAAAATCGAATAGTTTTGATAGTTGAGGTGCTAAAATTACTTGGTTTTATAGTTTGGGGTTAAAATTGGACAATGGAAGAGTTGAGGAGCCCAAGATGGACTAAATTCTTTTTCCCCTTACAAAGATGCACATAAATACAAAATGGTTCCCAACAGTCATTATCTGTTATCGGTGAAACGGTCATGACTTCACAATTACCATATAATATATACAGCACCTGAACGCCGTCATCATGTAATCGAAATTAAGGAAGTCATCGGGAGATATAAGAAGAGCACCAGTGTCGACGGCAACGGTGTATTACGTTCTGGGTCAGTTGTCTTCTCGAGGCTTAGAAAAGAGATTCTAGGGCTGCTCGCTTATTCAGCAAAATCACAAACCATGGCCTTGAGGGCCTTATTTGCTACCAATGTATTATTGTAGAATTTGCATGTGTTACCGGTACTTGTGCGTGTAAGTATATATAAGATTTTTTTCTAGAGATGATCTTTTCCTCATGTAATAACATCATATAGAAATGCAGTCGCAAGTTGTGGCAAAGCTCGTGAAGTAAGCGCACTTTAGATGGCTAGGATATTCACCACCTCTGTTTTTCTTCATTTTACGTTGACACTAAAGTCAAAGTGCCTTGCTGTGAAACCTCTCAGTGGTGCAAAAGAAGATAAGCCCATATGTTTTTGGAAGATAGCATGCAGTTGGTCAATGTTTAGAATAGCACGCTAAGCCTGTTAGCGGATGGGTTCCACAAAGGTTATAATAAAGACTACTTAGCGGTTTAGCAAAAAATACATGTAGATTACTCAGAATGTAATGTTTTATACACTAGCATGCATAGAATCAGATACATTCTAGCATGACAATAACTTGGACCTAATTCAATTTTGTAATATATGAGCATCCTTGCAGTAACATGCTAGCCATTGAGAGTTTCAAACTAAACCTCTAGACCTCTGAAGTCTGAATGGAGCAAAGGGAAGGAAAAAAAACTAGAATAGAGAAGAGTAAAAGTGTAAAACTTCCCGCACTGTTACTCTGTCCCAATTCAGTTTTCCCCCTGGTTAATGGGCTAAATAGGCTGCTAGTAGCAGATTTAGTGGGCTAAATCCAGATAATCAGGAAAGAAAGATAATGAGGAAAGAAAGGTTAAGAGCATCTTCGAGAGATTAACTATCTTTGTCTAGGAGTCGAATTTTAGTAATTTTGGGAAGAAATAGACCTCCAACAACTTTTGCATCTGGTGAGCCAAAATAAGAAGTGATGTATCCCGTG